GATTTTTAATTCTGAAATTTCTTAATCCCTAAAATTTTTAATCTTGAAATTTCTCAGTATCGAATCTTTTCGACGTCTAAAATTTTCAATTTGCTAAATTTCTAAAACCTCTTATCTGAAGAAGATTCCCGCTTGGAAAAATGTCCAACTTTCGAAACACTCGACTCTGTAAATTCGCAGTTGTGAAAGTCGATGCTCGTATCTCTCTTAAAAATACATTCGTCCATAAAATCCGAAGAAATATTCCGCTGTCTTGGTGGCCTTTTTCGAAAACTACACGAAACTTTGCACCCTCCACGGTGATTTGCGGACGCTGATCGAGAATCGAAGGGCAAGTGTCCAGAAATCGAGTCGAAACAGCGATCAATTTCGACGTCTGTTTTCCTTTTCTCTTAATTGAAGGGTGACGCGAAATTCTGCCAAGTTCCACACAGTTCTAAAATGGACCAACGAAACTTCGGACTTGCTTTTACCCCGTTTCACCTGTTTCCATCGTGAAAAGCCATCGATAAATTTCCTTCTCGCGCTGTTTTATCGGTAAAACGATCGTTATAGAAAATTCGATATTATAGAAAATTGTGAAATCATAGTTTCACTCAGTGAAAATTTTATTTTTTAAGTTCTAACATAAAAAGATTAATAACTGAGATAAATTTAATTTTTTAAATTCTAACAAAAATATTAATAACCGAGATAAATTTCATTAAAAAAAATGGTGTTTTTTTACAAACTGCTAATTTAAAGGGATTATTTGTTGAACTGTGACAAATTTTCCAATAAAATCCAGAATTTTCTAACGAAATTTGGTTTAATTGTTCAAGCATGTTCGAGTACTATAACGTCTCCATTCTGAACACTTGATACAGCGTAATTCTAAAACCGAGTTTAATAGGCCTTTTAGCCTATCACCTTCCATTAACCACATGTTGATAATTACGTTATCCTCACGAGTCTCTGTCGATTAGGTTACGCAAGGTACACAAGACCCTTCGATTATATCAATTACGTTTCGTACCTTCGACTCCCGTTAATTCGCGAATTAATTAATCCTTGAAATTTTGAAAAACAAGAAGTTCCTTTCACTAAAGATCACTATAATTCGTGAAACAATCGAAGAAACATTTGGAAAAGAGGCGGTAATCGACTGACGTTAATGAATCAATTGGTAATTAAGTCCGTGCAATTAGAGTGACCAGGCAACCCTTTCGAATATTCCCGCATAATTTCAGGAAAACTCCGTTCGTTCGTTCATTTTTACTGTCTGCGAAATTATCGATAATTGCAACAATAACTTATCAGGCAAAAAATTTGCGTGAAATATTAAAATATATTTTGCATTCAATGGACTCTCATAATAATTCTCAATTCGATTATAATTTCAGAATACTGTTTCCTAGAATTTTCACGAAAGTGGAAAACTGTTATTTTTTCGTAAAATGGAATTCACAAAAATTGAGACAAAATCTGGCCCTCAAGAAGTAAATTCTTTCACCTGCTTTTCAACCTCCAAGAATATCTCTTCATCCGACATCCTCATCGACAGACTATATTAATCTCTTCGCCTACCAAGCAAACTCGGTTCCCCGAAAAATTTCTCCTCCAAGATTGATTGATCGCGCGGCAGTGAGTAGCACGAGAGAGGTTGGCAAGCGGCGAAGGCTTCGCCGGAAGATCGATATTCCCGCGCGACAAGTTCGCAGTGCGACTTTTCAAGGCCAGGGCCTCCGGAAGCCAAAAACTACCGGGCGACATATTTTTCCCGGCCAAAAAGTCACGGTTGCGTCGCGTTGCAGGGAAAAAGTTTCTCTCACGATCAATAAATGGCCACTGTCTACGTGCGCTTTATGGGAAGATCGGTGAAAAGTTACCCGTGAAACGTGCCAGCAAGTTCAGAGGAACGGGGTTTTGGTCCCTGGAAAATTTCGGGATAATGAAGTACCGGTGGTAACAAAACGGCACTTCTCTCTTCTGGATTTGTTGTAATTTTTTTGCCATTGGAAAATTGACGCCTCGATTTCGGAAGTGATTGACTTATACTACTTGCTGATTCCGAAAGAAGAGTCCGAACGTTTGAGAAATGGTTGACTTACACTGCTTACCGATTTCTGAAACTTTTCGAGCGGCTGAGAAATGGTCGACTAAGACTACTTGCTGATACCGAAAAAAAATTCGGGAGTTTGAGAAACGGTTGACTTAAACTACTTTCTCGAAATTCCGGAAGCTAATTAGTAACGTGAGTTAATTAGTAGCATGAGTTGGCTAGTAGTGTGAGTCAGTAATTCCTCAGACGCCCGAAAAATTTGGACTAACTAGCTTCGATCCTGAAAATTTTCTAAAGTTTCTCAAAGCTAAGGCACTCGTTATTGAACTATAAAATTAAGAAGACTCCAATGAATTTTGTCCTCGCTTAAATTGCATACATATTAAAGACAGTGTTAACACCAATTTGTTCCTGTTCGTAATGTTGCATAAGTAAACTTGAATTACGCGAATGCTCCTCCTTGGTAGAATTGAACGAAAGGTGGCAATTACATGGAATTCTCTCGCGTTTAGATTAATAACGGATACACGATGACTTAGGGGACGCTGGTTGCGTTGATGTTCATTTCTATGCTAATAACATCACTTAGTCTAATTCAGTTCAGAGTGTACAACATAGACATCGTGAAGAGAGTCGACTATGCTTCTTGAATATTTATCCAGCTGCTGTCCCGCATGGTCTAGATAATTCGTCTACCAAACTTTAAACATGTTTTACATTGCAAACGACGTGACGTCTTCATCGCTACTTTTCTTAACTTCAAAGCCTGTCAAGAAAAGGGAGACGATGCTCTGTGACACAGGATCTAAGTACCTTTGCATTTTCTGTAAAAAGTAGATGCTAATGTATTTATTAAAATCTATTTATTTAATCTAACATTAATGTTAGTTTCGAGTCCAATTTCTGGCCATTTTAGAGATGGTTGAAAATTGAAATTTGGGAATTAAAGTTTGGGAATTCTTTAATTTGGGAATTAAAATTTGAGAATTCTTTAATTTGGGAATTGAAATTTGAGATTTCCTTAATTTGGGAATTAAAATTTGAAATTTCCTTAATTTGGGAATTAAAATTTGAGAGTTCTTTAATTTGGGAATTCTTTAATTTTGGAATTGAAATTTGAGATTTCCTTTATTTGGGAATTAAAATTTGAGAGTTCTTTAATTTGGGAATTCTTTAATTTTGGAATTGAAATTTGAGATTTCCTTTATTTGGGAATTAAAATTTGAGAATTCCTTAATAAAATTTTCTCGCATTACTCATTAATTACCCAAATTCCCCCTAAGTAGCTAAACTTAGACTTAAAATTACCTACAACACAGACCACCGTTGCAAACACTCTTCAGCAGAGGAATCGTGACAAAACACGGAGCCATCAAATATTCATTTATTTCTGGTAACAACTATGTACACACATATACATACACATAGGCGTATTTAACATGTACGTAAATGCAGAAAGTGGTCCGTACTCGAATATGTTTGAATGAAACCTCCCTCTAAGAGGACTCTCCACCCTCAAAACCACGGCCATCTTCATATTCTCAAATTCGAAAATATTCGGTCGGTAAAAATGCATTCGAGGAGTTTTCTTTACCGACGATTTCCTACATTTCAAACACTTGTTCCGTCATACTGAATGTTCAACTAACAACTTCCGATGATTACTTTGTTATCCGGTAATTTTAGAACGTTTCTCTGATTAGGCCACGTTTTCGCTCGCTTAGATGTTTTCTTTTTCTCTCTCAAAGTTCTAAGGCCCCTGTTTGGCACGCGTTTTATTCCCAAGGGAAAAAGGGCCAAGATTCTTCGCTTATTATTCTAACTTTTTTATTTCTTTTTCTAGAAATTAAATACGAATATGAATAAAACGACTTGAATTCTCTTTCACTCTCTATGGTTGAATAATTATCTTTCGTACAAGAGAGAGATAGATCTATGAATGTTCCTTTTTTTTTTCAGTGATGAATATGAATGAAAAGATACACTTTTGTTGGTTTTTTTTTTTCTGGTAAGAAATAGCACCATGATCGTTTCGAATTGGCCTGCATTCTGAAAAATACTTGTGGATATTCTCGGATAAATCGTTCAAAATACACACACAGCTCTCTGGATGATAAGATTAAAAGACGACGTTTGTAAAAATAATTTGTTCGCGTGTAGAAAGTACATTGGACACGTTTCTTACGCGTATCTCGTCCCGTAGAATCCGAAGACTTTCATCGATAAGACCCTTACTCCTATTTTGTTACTTTTTTTTTTGCATCTTTGGTTCGATATTCGTTAGATATGGTACAAAGTGTGCGTGTCTACTGATAGTAAGTACAAATATACAGGTGTTTGCTCTTGTGTGACGCGTTCGATGGTGGCTAGTCAGATGAATTATTAAAAAAAACGTAAAAATACAAAAAATAACCTGTAGAAAATCAACTGAAAAATTGTCATCTCTATTTTTCATAATCCTACTACTAATATAGTTACTATTAAAAAAAATGCAGATAATTGTGCTCTATTTTAGCACTACTTTCGGTATAAACAGAAAAAAAGTAAATAAATTTTTAAAAAATGAATTTTTTATTTTGGGAAAAGTTTCTTCTATTTCGTGAAAAATCCTTACTTTCGGAGATCATTCTTGTGCTAAAGTCTTCAATTGTATACACTCAATTCCTTAGAAAGCCTTTTTTTCTCGAACTGAAGACGTAACCTTAATTGCTAAATTAAAAATTAAACGGAGAAATGATTTTTCAAAATAAAAACCTGTTTAGAATTCTCTGTATCGATGATCTGACGCGTATTTGTCATTCGAATCGCTAACGAACCGTTCTCTCGTGCAGCACGCACGCACAACACTGAGACTGTGGGCGGAAATAGGAGTAAAAGTATCCAAAAGGCTGTTTAAAAATTCGATAGCACGACACGTGTGATCGTTTCCACGAATGAAAACTTAACTATCAGCGTTTTCCACGCGTTCCACGCCGATGCTGGTATCAAAAACGAGGACACACTTTCGATGAATACTGGCTAATCGTCGAAATCGTACATCTGGTAGGGCTTCCAGTCGAGTTTCTGAAGAGATCTGAGAATTTTACATAGAAAATCGATGGTGAGAAAATAATACATCACTCTTCTATATCTCTAAATTTTTCCACTCACTTTTTCGCGGATTGTATGAATCCAGCGGTCCCACACGTGAAAACACACGCGTCTGGAGCACTCTCCGCGATTAATTCTTTTAGTAAATCGTCTGATAGTGTGCCACGTCTACCTGTCCACGTGCTTCCTGGCTGCGAGAGGATATGTGTAACTTTCAATCTGGAAAATGCCGATATTCCTCGTTGAATATAGTCGGAATTTAAAGAGACGTTAGGGATTCAGATGAATTAATACACCCACTTTTTGTCCGCGCTGACTTTCTCAAGCTGCGCCACGTAGAACATGTTGTCTTCGTCCTTGTTGAAATTAAGTAGATTTATGATCTTCCTGGAAGGTTGACAAATTTATTAAACGTCAAAATTACTGAAACTCTTGGTGTAACTTAAGTTTTTAGTTAATTGAGTTTTTCTTTTTCAAAATTTCTACAAATATTTGACATAATTTTTATATATTTTACATATTTCTATTTAACATTCTTTCCAACTTATCCGCAGAAATTCTGCCTTCACATCCCAAATTTCCCCAATTCAACCTAACCATCAGTTCCCAGCCAAATTTCACTTTTCCCTATCGTTCAAAGCCAACAAAGCACTCCTTTACACTCGAAAAGCTCACGATATGCCGAGGAATTACCGCGAACCGGTGCCAGAAATGTTCTCCAAGTGAATTTAAACAGTGGAGCAACACGCGATGCTTGAAAGTTAAAAGAGGGGAGATACTGACACAGTGCGCCTAGCCAAGGCTCGTTGAACGATGCCAAGCATCGCTGTTAACCCTGTGCCACCCGCGAGCATGTGAACGACCGTGTAACGATCGAAGGATTCTACTACGAAGGCACCTAAAGCATTGCTCAAGGAGAAGGTCTGGCCGATCTGAAGGGCGGTTATGGACGGACTGAGCGCGCCATTTTGGTACTTCTTGATCATCAGACAGAGGCAGTCTGATTTGTAATTTGGCGCCGTGTCGTCGGGATGAAGGCACGGTGGGACTGGCGTGTACGATCTTGATACTTCCATTCCTGCGAAGAAATTTTATTTGCTAATTTTTCAGCGGAAAATTTCGGTAGGCAACAAAAAAATAGCGATATAACGCAACTTAGGAATTATTTCACCCTTTCGCTACGGCAGATTCGAGCTCTTTGCCAAGCCATTTTTACCTTGTAAACTCTCTGTGGGCCATATTGCCTGCAGAAACGGAGGGGAAAAAAAAATAATATGCACGCAGCTTAAACAAACTCGTTCGAATAAAATTTATACATTTTTCAGGCAATAATTGACCGGGCGTGCACTACCAAGAAATAATTCCGACCAGTACGACTACCATGCCTACGGAGAATACGACCGCAAAGAGTTCAAGCGTAACGTGGATGACTGAAGGTAATTTTATAACCACGGCTGTAAAATTTGGTATCTTGGTCGTGACGTTTTTTAAAATTCGTTTTATTAAATTAAGGTGGAAGTGTACCAAAAGGCTGTAACAGTATAGTACGAGCAAATGATCAAAACGCCAATTGTAACGAAAGGGTTAACAGAAGAATAAGATCCAGTAGCTTCTTGAAAATGCTCACGTTCCACTACCGCACCTAACAATTTGACAATATTTAAGAATTTCTTTGTAAGTGTGTGAAATTATCGACAGAACTACAGTCCGGATAAGATTAAGCGACTGTTCAAGCTCACCGAGGAGAAAGTGGTAGAGAAAGTAACTTTGGAAACCAATTGACATTTAACAGACTTTCATTCTACTTATTTGACGAGCAACAGTGATCATTTTCAAGTAAACAAATTTTTATATTTTAAATACTAATTGATAAAAACTGACGATACAGAAATTGCCTAGTCGATAAGCTAATGAACTATCAAATTTAGTTAATTATAGACTGTAGTCGACAGAATTTCTACAATAAAATATGAAAAAAAGGGTTCGACAGTTACCCATGACGTTCATTTTGGCCTCTACGTGCCTGCCAATTGGTACCAACTCCATGAAATCTTTCGCTCGGACGACTAACAGGTGAACTAACTTAGAAAGCGATTTATTCGTAAGTACTTCGTACTCTTTGTACGTTCGACTGTTCCTATTCGTCTCTCTGGATACCGTTTGGGTACCCTGAGACTTCCATATCTCCTTCTTCTTCTTCGTGAACGTGAAATCGACCTGCGTAAATAAAATATTCACCAGAATTTTAACAATCAAATTTTCACAACTGAATTACCTATCCTTTATTTTCTGTAAAGACTCATCTACCAAGAAAAATATTTTTTTTATCATAGTACCTCCATCGTGTCGAAGTTTCTGCTGCAAACAGGCGGCCATTCTACGTCTGCAGCCATTTCTAACTCGTGAACTATTATATCCTTCTCGAAAAACAGTTTGAACAGTAATTTCGAGTCTTGTAGCCTGCATAATTGGTAACAGACTCCTGGATAATCGCGCAAAGTTTGATAGAACAGTGTGATTGAGTTTGTTGTCTGCCTCCAGTCCATCTTTGTGCTGGATATACCACTGTCCGAGACGCTCTCCTGGCTGGCGTTATGAACTGAAAAGAGACATTTCAGGTATCTGTTAAGAAATTTACTTACTAATGTTTCGTGGTAATTCTAAGGATAAAGGAAGTTTGGATAAAGAGGAAATGAATTGACAATTAAAGTTTCTGGAAGTTCTGAAACTAATTAAGAGTGCTGCAACTTAAATTAAGTTGCAAGAAATTATCTGAAGCTAGACAGACAAAATCGTAAAATCCTGAAATCCTTGTTAATCCCAGTTGCAGAATTTCATTTATTCAGGATTGTTGTATTCTGTCCTCAAAGATAGTAGAAAGTACACGACTTCCTTAATACTACTAAATTTCACTTAGAAACTCAGAAAAGGTGATCTTAAAAAGTAATTTTTCTTCTATAGTATGTCTTCTTCGAAATCATTCGAAACTTGTGCTTGAAACATTTCTCAAATCGTTAAAAAAGTGGAGAAATATTTAGGTAGCCTCCTTCATCTTACTTAAAAAATATGATTTTTCATCGAGTCTTCGAAAAAAAGGGAAAAAATTCAAAAAATGTAAAAGCTCATTTTCCGACGAGAAACCTACTTTCCTTCGAAACCATTCGAAAATTACGCTTCAAGCATCTCTCAAAGAGCATATGTTTAAGTATCTCTAGAAACATTTAAATCTGAGAAACTCTTCAAACACGTCGCGCAATTCCCATAAATCAACAAATCTCTAAACACCCAACTCTCCGCAAACTTCCCCAATTGTCTATTCCATTCAAAGCCTCGTCGTCCCCTCTGAAAACCCGTTGAAACGACACAAAACATCCCAGCATCGAACGTTCATTTTTCCCCCCCTTCTTCTCCTCGTTGACAATACACGTTCGAAAGAAAAATCGTCAGCGTTCTCCTTTTATTAACAGCAACAGGACACGCGCTTTCACCGTGTGTGTGTGTGGAATCGACGAGAGTGAGAGAGAGAGTAGCGTATACTCACTCGTGCAACTTGTTATCAGGTTCAACGTCGCTGAGGAACAATTGGTCGTGCTCGAGACGGCGTTTTCTGTCGGCGAGGACGTGGTACCGCTCACAGAGCCACGGCTCAGCCTTCCAACCACGCATTTCTGAAGGATACTCTGATAGTTGACCCAAGCGTGCACCTGAAACGAACGATCTATGGGTACGTAAAAATAATCGTCGATCGACCGTGAGATTAGGGTGTCGGTGATCTAACGAGAATTGGGGGTTGATGGAACTTACGCTTTCGAAGAGCTTCGTGGCATCTTTACCGACGCCTCTCATCAACTCGCTGATACCGCCTGGATGGAAGTCCATGTAACGCGTCACGTTGAACACGATTCCTGCGGTTCAAGGGTTTTGTTTAAGGCATTTTTTTTTGTTTTTTTTTTTTTTGGTTTTTTATTAACTCCTCAACACTCACATTTTTGTATTTTTGTAGGTTTGGAGAGATAAGTTTGCCGTTTGTTTGGAATAGAAAGGACAGCGCAATATGGAAAGTGAGAGAAAATGATTCGACGAAATTGCACTTTTTGGAGAATCTGTTGTGTAAGTGTAAGACAAGGGCGTGAGCGTTAAGGGGTTAAGTATTGGGTCATACTGAGAGTTGGTTAGATTTTAAGGTGGTCATTTTGAAAAGTGGTGACTCCGTTGAAAATGAACATTTTTATTTAAATAATTTCCAAGTTAGTTAGGTTTCGAAAGGACTATTGGTTAATTTTGAAAAATGGTAACTACTTTGAAGTTTTCTCCTTTTCAAGTTTCCAAAACTCTGTCGGTTACTTTTGAAAGACCATAACTCCATTAAAATTGAATATTTTTATTCAAACTAATTTTCATAATTTTCCACGCATTTTTGCCAAACATAAAAACCCTAATCTCCAAGGGAAAGAAACTCACGTGGAAAGACACTTACTCAAAAAAAAAAATTACGAATTACTTTTAACATCTATTAAGAAAAAGAATAAAATACTCGAAAGCCATCATTCCAATTTCGCGGCGACCCCGGAGAGCGTCTCCAAAATGGCGGGCATTGCAAAAATAGGCGGGCAAATTGAATAAAGATACAGGGATTAAAATGGCCAGGCTATCGGTCGTGACTGGCATTGGATAAATATTGGAGGAATCGACATCGTCGTCGTCGTGGATAGTAAATTTTAATCAGGCTAAAAGCAGCCAGCCAGCCAGCCAGCTCGATATTGTCTTTCGCCTCTCTCTCTCTCTGTCGTGACCGCGGCTCGTTTTCTCTCATTCGATGGAAAAGAGGCAACGAGGAGAGGAGAGTCCATCGATTATCGTGATATAGAAGAGGGAGAGAGATATGAGGAGGGACACGGTGATAGAAACTCGGCTAGAATGAAACTTGAACCGGGATCGACTTTAATTCCACGTCTCCAATGGAACCTGTTATTTTACTTAATTTTCCAGCCGGCCACATAAAGACTTCCTTGCGCAATTCCCCACCGTTACTACTCTCTGCCGTTTAACCGATTAACTCGAGCTTTTGCACACACGTACCGGAGAGAATTGCTCTCGTTATTTTCCATCCCTACGTTCCACCACTTCGCAGCTGATAGTTTAACACTTTCCACTTCGAACGCTAATTAGGCTGGCGCGAGTATTCATTTCGACAGGTTGCACTTTTAAAGCTGTAAAATTTCATCAATGTTTGCAATGTAACATTTCGTTTTCCCAGAGTGGTAGTATCAAGTATCGATAGTCAATTTAGTGCTGATACTATCAAGTATCGATGTAATATAGCGTCGATCGCAACTGCCAATATAGTATCGATATAGTGTTGATACTATCGATATAACGTCGATACTATCAATGTAGTATCAGTAATATAGTACCAATAGTGAGTGCTGTAGCCTAATTGGTTTTCTCGGTAAAAATTCCCCGAAAAATGAGGTGAAAATGATGGTCGAAAGTGGAACACCCTGTTAAGCCTCGTATTCACGCGAAGTCATGTCGAAACCGATCCCATTACTAACAAATGAGATCACTCTAAGGGGATGAAGACACTTCTACCCGTTGGATTTCGTTTCTTCGATTTAATTTCAATTAAGCAGCTTCCCCGGAGCAATGGGTTGCCAGTGGAAATAGCATCGACGTGTAATCTCATTAGCGAAAGTCGGGTTTTGCTGTTTCAATCAACTGTTGCTATAAGTTGCTACGAATGAATGGTGAACTTGTGGGAATAGAGATGGAAATTTAGATATTTAGGAGAGAGAGTTTAGGTACGCTGAAAGTCAGAGATGCAAACATATGGAATTTTAAATACTTTTCGAAAATAGCAAAAATTACATATTTAAAAATTTGAAAATTGATAAATTAAAAAAAAAATAGAAATTTAGGTAATTGAGAATTTTAACAGTAGAAAGTAGCAATTCACAGTGTTTGGAATGTGAGAAATTTCAGAGAATAGATATTTAGGCAGCTAAAAGATAAAAATTACAAAAAATAAGATATTCAAATATTTAAAAAATCGCAGATTAGAAGAGCAAACGAAAATTCAGCGGATAATAAGAATTTAAGGTGTTTGAAAAGTTAGACGTTCCAAAGACTATAATCCAGGTACTTAAAAAGTTCCGTCTTTAAAAAAACTTCAAAGAAGATTTAGGTACTCAGACACTTCAACTTCGGAATTACATTCTCCAACGCTCGAGTAACTTTTCAAGACCGTTTTCTTAAATCTTCCTCCTGCAGATTACCATTTATCACCGAGGGAATCTATCTTCGATGACTGTTGGAAATATCAAGAGCTTTCGAAAGCTTCGTACCCTTTAAATAAGAAATTCGAGAGAAAGAAAGCGTACCTCGAATCGCGATCCAAGCGTCATTTTGCTTATTATGACTGGCCAATTCTGACAAGGTTACAACTCGAGAGACGCCACCGACGCCGGTCAAATCGACGCCAGAATTTCCCAGACGAATCCAATCCATCAAACTGTGGCCTGGTGCTAACGCTGTTTTATTTCGAGGATTACCTACAAAATAATACAAAATAAACGCTCGTTTCATTCGTCGTCGATGGAAAGTAAGCAAGAAAATTGGGGGAAAAAATGGCAATTCTAGTTACCATTTTTATCACTCTTATTACCATAGATGAAATATAATTACCATTTATATTTCAGTCATTTTCGGTTAGAAATAAGCGAGAAAACTGGGAAAAAATGGTACTTTTAATTACCATTCGTATCGCCGATAATTTCAATGGCAAATTCTGCAGTTTTGCTACTTTCAATTTCTACCGTTTGTTAAAAACAAAGAAATAAATTAAGGAAAAAGGAATGGTAATTTTAATTACACAATTTCAAAGGGAAATTCTAAATTTTTGTTACACTCTTCGCGACTTTTTCATCCGTATCGCTTATTAAAGAAGTGCTTACGATAAAAGTATAACGCTTAAAGTGAAATAAGCACTTCAAGTCCACACGTGCGAAAACTTCGCGGAAATATGGTCAGAGAATCCTTGTAACTTTCTAAACGCTTTCTCGTAAGATGGAAAATAGACACGCTCGAGGGAAATGGCTAACAGAGATCGTGTATTATTTATTTTACCTCTTCTCCCTGTTTTCTCTAATATCCAGAACAAAATAACACAAGGAATTTGCAAAAGAAAAAAGAATTCTTATGTTCCTTAAAATTTATCAGCTTCGAATCAAATATTAACAAAATTTATCGTGTATTTTGCAATAAGAAAATTGATCAAAAGTAGTTTACAAAATTTTCATGTAATCTCCCTGTTTTATCTATGATCCAGAAAAAATAACAGAAAGAATTTGTGGAAGAAAAGAATTTTTATGTTAAGATTTATATTCATTTTGCAATTATAAAATTGATCGAAACCAGTTCACAATTTTTCACGTAATCTCCCTGTTTTATCTATCATTCAGAAAAAATAACACAAAGAATTTGTATGTTAAAGTTTATCAGCTTCGAACGAAACGACAGCAAAATTTATATTTATTTTACAATTATAAAATAGATTGAAACCAGTTCACAATTCTCCATGTAATCTCACGTTACTAAGCTTATCTGTTTCACGAAAGCTTAATACCTACAGAAGGTAAAAAATCGTATCAGTAGAGATTGATAATCGTACGAAAACATATTCATCGTCCAATTTCGTTACACTTTTGACAAGAATGTTTAAAAAAAGAACACATCTTTTATAAAAGACATACAACAGTTAATCAACTGTTTATTCAGGTAATTATCTCATTAGATAGAACCGCAAAAATCCATTATATGCAACAATACCTTCTTTCTTTTTTTTTTCTTTTTTAAACATTTTTTAAACATTTTTTTAACATTTTAACGCTTTATTCGTTTCAATTAGTTACAACTAAAATGGACATTCGCTCGTTAAATTTAACGAGCAGGGCAGAATTATACGCAGCAGTAATTTCCTCGGGAAATTGCAACAAAGTAGACGAGCATTTTATTTGAAAAACTACAGCGAGAAAAGTGTCGTTACAAGCAACGATAAAAAGAGTCGAACATTTTATTTATAAAATATATATTAAGTGTACATATTATTTGTTTCGATAAATTATAGACGAAACGAACATTCGTCCCTTAAAATTTGACAAGAGAAATATAATTTTTGCAAGGAACTTTCATTTTTATTTTCTGACAAAAACAGTTCAGTAAGAAACAACGAATAATTCGACGAATTAAAATCGAAATGGACGTGGGTCAATTAGGTTTAACAGGAAAAATATAAATTATCGCGAAAAATTGACTAACAATAGAACACTTCGTTAAAAAAACAGAAATCTTCGCTTAAATCATTATTACGTTTAACAAAAAAAAGATAAACTATCGTAAAAAATTTCAAAGAAGCAGTCAAACATTTTTTCCAAGAGAAAAATAAAGTCTACGCTTAATTGGTCGAAGTACGATCGTAATAGACGATCATCGATCACGTGCGATAAGAAAAACTACAAGTCTTCCACGAAGCAATTGAACGCCTAATCAAAAAGAAAAAAAAACGTTAAATTCCAACTAAAACAGATATTCATCGAACGTTCCAATCGATAATACGAGGATCTCGTCGCTTTTCTGTCGAGTGAGACGATTCATAAATTCGCGAGCGAAAAAAAAAGAAAAGGTTAGAAGTTGTTCCGGCGCAAAAAACGGGTTGCGCAAGTAAAACTAATAGGCAATTATCGTTAATTACTGACCGTCCTGAATCTGCAAACCGAGACTCTGCGGAGACCCGTCGCCGTTCATGACGGAAACCAAAGACGCGCCGCAGCATCGTGGCATTTTCTCATCGAAACGTCACAGTTCGCAGACCTTTAACCATCCTCCTGCATAGAGAATTGTATTGCGTGAAAACAAGCAGCCCCTGAACGACCTCCTTTTTTCTTTTTTTGAGGAACAAAAGGAAAAGAGAGAAAAAAAAAAGGGAGAAAACGATTATCTGATTTCACTGGAGAATTCATTCATTTAAAATCCCCTATGAGACAGTTCAATTATAGGATGACTTAATATAAAGGTTATGTCGCAGTAAAAATTTCTGCTAAATTGCAAAGGCGATTTACAAGGATCGCAGAAAGCAAAATTTTAATTATACCGATATAAATAAAAAGATTTGGGATAAATTCTGGATTTTCAGCTTTGATCGTTTTTACTGTGATAAAAATGTGAAAAATGATAAATAAACTCCGTTGAATTAGTGAATACAGGAACGATAGGGGAGTGGACCGTAGACAGACGTAATTACGTAACCAATAAAAGTATATTTTCTAAAATTCCAACGTTTATATAGGTTGAATGAGAATGACGAAAAAAATGAAAGAAAATAATTTGAAATCTTTAAATGAACGATTACTACAAAAGTACAATGAAAAGCAACGAAACGTAGAAAAGCTTTCTTTTAAAAAAAACCGACGTATTCCCATAGACGAATGAGCACCTTCTCCCCGCAGAGGCGCTATAGCGTGGAATGAACTGTAAATATTGTTTCAGCGCGTTAAAACAGCTGCAAAGCCGGCGACGAAATCAAAAAGGGGAAACATGAGGCCATCAACGAGTCACTATAAGCCAGAGTTAAATACTCCAGAGCTCTGGAAACCGTGGTCAAGACAATAGCCAAGGACCAAAGTAACGCAAACAAATGGCCCGAGCCCGCCATGTCTGCGACAAACGGGACAGCGAAACGGCGGGAACGCGCGTACCTGACAACGAAGCCGCGTCGATGTGTGGCTTCGTCATATATACCGGTGAGTATCGTGGCGAATCGAGGCGAACGACGCACAGTAGTTCGTCGATCGATCCTGTCCTCAGCCTAAATGATCCTCACTTTTCAGCGGGATCCTTTGTAACCGGAGACTGGCACAGGGACAAGAAGCACGCAGAAGTCTGTGATGTCTATTCGAGAAGAAAAGATTTGTCACAGTGACACCTCTGAGGTTATGTTGAACAGTTTTATAGGTGAATCTCATGGGAGACTCATTCTGTCCATTAGAAGATATTTCTCACAAAGCTATGAAACGGTATAAATTCAGGTTCGAGTTATTATATATGTGTAATTCGTAGAATTGTTAGAGGTTAGGTTCGATTAATCGAGACTACAAAACGAAACACTGAACTGTGACTAATTTCAGGAAACGTGATCGCGAGAGAAGCAGCAAGGCGAAACGTTGATCCCCCGCTGGTGGACTGGAAGGTACTGCACCGAAACACGCGGACCGATATAGCCCTCGGACAGGTAGATCAATATAGTAGCTACGGCGTGCCTAACACGCAGGATCTCGCCAGTAAGCGCGTGGCTCTCCGGCCGCTGAGATCGACAGAGCTCTCTATCTCTCTGTGGCCTGTTAATTCGGCCAAATGCTGATTCTTCA